AAAAAAAAAAAAAAAAAAAAAAAAAAAAAGGTATTCAATTTAATGAAAATTTAAAAAATGATGATGAATGGCAAGGATTGACAGTTTGAGAGCAGCTCTTTCTCGATTGTATGGGTGGTGGTACGAAAAATAAGGACAAGAAAAGAGAGAGAGAAAAAAACGAAAACAACTAATATAATAATATATGGCCTTAGGAGTAGTGGTAGGTAGGTAGTGAAAGGCAAAAATGAATTTGAGAGAAGAATATAGTCTAGTGACTCTAGTAGATGCAAAACAAAAAGAAGAAAAGAAAAGAAAAAAAAATAAAAACTTAAAAAAGATTGTTTCATCAGACTTGCACTGAGTCAGACTCATTAGGAGATTGCACCCTTAGCAATCTGAGGAATCCCCGTATTGATGCTTTGGGTCATGATCCCTTTTGAAGTTTTGAGCCTTTGTTGAAAGCATACTGCCAGCAAGCAATGACCCTTTGTTGAATGCAGAGTCGTTGCAGACTGCCAGCAAGCAACGTCAGAAGCGGAACATAGGAGCAGGCAACGACTCAGCGTCGTCAGCGAAGCACCAGGCAACCCCGCGGGGGTGGAAAAAAACCCAACGGCACAACGCCAAAGGCTCAAATCTTAATAACGCACAAATCAGCTGTGTGCTGCAAAGCGGCCAAACTGCACGGGCGGCAAAAAGAACGCATGGGAAGACAAGGCGGTGAAGGTGCACACGGATGGGCAGCAGGGAGCCATGCAGCAGAGCACAAGCCAATACAGCAAGGCAACCGGACAAGCAGCAGGGAGAGACAGGTATGGCAAGCAGGCAGCCAGCGAAGCAGAAGAGAGCGCCGATGAGGCAGCCCGCACCGTCAACACGGACCAAAGCCATCCATCCCCTGCTCACACCACAAGAAGAACCCTGGAGACTTTTGGTTTCACCCGCTGAGCCGGGAAGTCGCACTCCCCTACAAACATAAGTCATCACCTGTAGCACAGACAGACATCCCGAACTGACCGGCCTCCCAAAGAGCTGCTGCATGCAGTACAGCCACTCCAAAAAAACGGAATCACCAGGCTGTCGGCACTGACCGGCCTCCCTATTTGGCACTCCTTAGAAGTGCTCGGTCAGACACACAGAAAGTACGTAGGAAAAACAGGGAGACAGGGAAAAAAGTAGGGAGAAATACATGCAGCCAAACCAGAAAAAATGTTATACAGAAAACTGTGTGTGTGCATGTGTGTGTGTGTGTGTGTGTGTGTGTGTGTGTGTGTGTGTGTGTGTGTGTGTGTGTGTGTGTGACACATGATATGGCATAAGCCCATTTTACATAATCGAGGAAGCCGCCAGGCTGTTGTTCTAGTGGACTAAAAGCCATTATGAATTCTCTCTTTTGAGTCTTTTCTTTTTTACGGAGCTTTTGATGATCGATCTCTCAATTTGAAAGCTGATGCAATCTTATTGTACTGATAGTCGGAAAAAAAAAAAGGCCGTGCCACAACATCTTTCGAAGTAAGCGGTGGCAACCTTACGGCTCTGCCTCTTGATGTTTTTTTTTTGCCAAGCCAAGTGTTTTATATCGTGCTGCATGTGCACATGTTCCCTTCTTTGAGAGGCACATCATTGACATTCTGTGCGTAATACTGCGTACACTGCGTAGTCGTGAAGAGACTGCTCTCCCTTTCTAATCTATGTGTCTTGCTGACCAACTTCATTCGATGTCATCCAATTGCATGTGTCCCTTTCGCAATAATTCATGAGTCTGCCACGTGGCATGTTTTCAAAAACCCAGATTCCGACCCGGTACGCAAGCCTGAGGGTATTGTTACGGTTGGTCGAACTTTTTTTTTTTTTTTTGTTTTGTTTTTTTTGTTTTGTTTTTTACTGTTAGTCGAACTTAGTTCTTCACAAGCCAATTTCAGATTTTCTCTTTCAAAGTGAGATCGCAACCCATCCCATTACGCCCACTGGCAGGTATGTTTGTCCTTCTCAAGAGATCTTTCAGATGACATTGTGTGGGTGGGTGAAGTTGGGAGCGGGCAAAATTTAAGTAGGACTACTAGGACACCACTGAATTGCAACAACGC